TTTTCGCTTTCAAATTTAAATATATAAAATATGTTTGAAAATTATAATTTATAAAAATGCAACAAAATTTAAATAAATAAGTATAACAAATGCATATATATTATTCTTTTAAAATTGTTTGAATTAATTTCACTTTATTCTCTAGTGTGTGACACACTGTATGTCCAACATTTCTCATGAACACAGCTAMACATACATACATGTGTATAGCCTGTTACCGGGTATTCTTTAGTTGGTGTCCAATATTTTCATGAGCAACACCTGTTAACGGGTATTCTTTAGTGTGTGCTCGCCACAGTTATGCTGTATATGCATGTATGTATGTCTCAGTGTGTGTGTGTGTGTGTGCTGCGATTGCAACTGCAACTGCAACTGTTGCTGCCACAAGTGCAACAACTTTGCGTGGTTTCTTGGCGGTTGACGCCGACGCAATGACGTCATCGATGACAGCGACAAACTGATTGATGTCTCTGTCTTCATATGTGTGCGTGTGTGTGTGGGAGTGTGTCTGTGCATGTGTGGGTGCGCTGCCCTTGGCCGCATTAGCATAGGCAGACCATAAAGAGAAGACAAAGATTCGCAAGACTCTGCACTGGGCGTGGGCGTGGCTGGTCGGGGGAGGGGGTAATTGAACTTGTCGCTGAGCCAATCGAACTGAGACTGGATGAGCCACCATTCGGTGGCATACAACACTCAACACGCCGACACATTGAGGCAGCCCAAATCCGCCGAGTGCCGCACCCCCTTTAACATCTGTTGCTCAGCATGCCACTGTGAGAATGTGTCTGTGTGTGTGTGTATGTGTGTGTGTGTCTGCACTTAGAATTCACATTAATTAGTTGAGGAAACAATTTTGAAAGTGCTCCACTTGCCACTTGCGCATGTGGCTCATGTGGCTCATGAGTGAGTGAGGCTGCCACTCTTCCGTCTTTCCGCTTTTCCACTTTTCCACATTTTCCATTTGCCACATCCCGCTGTGCGTTTCACGCCTCGTTCATCATCCTGCAACTATTTTCAGTGGTGTCTGACACACTTAGTCAGCTAAGAGGCATCCACTCATTTGTTTACAATTCACGCATCTTTTGCTACTTCACACACACACACACACAGACAGCATCTATCTATTTTTCCCCTTATTCATTTGTTTATCTTCGAGGCACTTTGATGGATTATATGCGGTCTATTGAACGCCATTTCTTGGCTATAAGTAAATTCCTTAACAGCAATTGTGCCTGAATGGGAATGGAGGGGGAGGGGCCTTTGGCCTTTGGCCTTTGGCAGCAGCAGCTGGGGATGCCCATGCCGTAGACAAGTTTGCTCCACCAACTCATTTGTTTATATCCAGCGAACTCATTTCTAAAGCCTTGAAGTCATCTTTATATCGGAAATATCTATTTTTTGTTTCACTAAATATTTACCTTTATAATTGTTCAAACATGAACATACATAATAATAAAAATAGAGACAGTACTCGAATAACCTGCGCGTTATCCGACACAAASTAATAAATATGTCATCCCTTAGYTGCAGCGACCAATGCAGCGTCTAATATATGTAAATGTAACGTGAGCCTGGGCCCAAAGATTCAAAAAAAGGGACACTTAAGTAAACATCTGGGCACTTGTTTGTGTGAGAAAATGCACCCTTCCAGTGACTGGAAGTAGTTTTAAGAGTCTCTGTTAGGTATATAAGAACTAGGATTTTAAGCAATAAA